CCAGTTCCGACCTCTAAATCTAGCCATGCTACTTCCACGGAGTTGATTCATCCTCGTTTGCTCCGTGTTCCAAATGCAAATAAAAGTTCCAATCAAGCAGCTTTACCCAAGAACTGCCACTTTGTGGAACATACTACTTCGTGGATACTTCTTTGAACACATAAATCTTTAACTCCTTCATAAACTTCACTACTCTTCCATTCATATCACACAGGTTATTCATTAATACCATTTGTAACTCACTACCTTGAGTGGCAATTGAGCCTTGTATTGGGAGAGATTTATGAAAAAAAAAATCTAAACTCGGATTTCGAAAACCAAATTTTCAGACGCAGATTTTAATCACATACATAACATTTCTAGGATAAACATTCACTCCAAGCAATGAGATCAGATTTAATTGTGCCAAATGAAAGGATGACTGTCTCCCAGGTGATAATAGGGTTAAATTGAAGAGAATTATCTGACCGTTGATTATTTGTGAAATGATGGGCTGTGTTCACAATAATCCACACAACTGGAACTGTCCGGAAAATGACTACAAATAGATACATTATCCTTGCTAAAAGAAAATAATTTCATATCTCTTCTGGTTATAGGATTGTTTTTGTTAGTGCAGGAATGACTAAGTATAAGCGAGGGGAGTTGTCTAGTCATGATAAACTCTGAAGGCAGCGACACAAAAACTGTAAACTTGACGACATCTTGCATGTTCAATGGTAGTTTGGCGCCAAAATCCAACCGTGATTATTGTTCCATTATGTTCTTCCTGCTAGTATTTGTCGTGTCACTGTACATTCACTCCCCAGAATGAATGCATGCTTTAAATTATTTGTTTAATATATCCTGTCACGAGGTAACTCAACAGTTAATATATACATTACATAGGTGCGTACGTATATATATATATATATAAATAAATAAATATTTCATATATATTTTAGACATATAATTAAAGTAGGTATTATATATATGCCTGAAAATATGTTTAAAATCATATATATATATATATATATATATATATATATATATATATATATATATATATATATATATATATATATATATATATTATAAAGATAAAAATAATTACTCACTACAAAGATGCATTTTTGTCGTGAGTATTTGTTTGCCTGTATGTAACATTTTTATAATAAATAACTAGTGCTCTACTCTTTGGTATTGAGCCCTCTTTAAATTAATGCTATGAACGTTTGAATTTATATTCTTTTCGTTCTCGTTACATTTATATATATATATATATATATATATATATATATATATATATATATATATGTGTGTGTGTGTGTGTGTGAAATGTGTATATATATATATATATATATATATATATATGCACATTTCACTGAATACGATAGATAAGGTGCTTTTATTTAGTTTTATATACAATTTCTCATGATCTAATAATTTTTTTCTTTTCAGATGATAAATTATATAAATATAATATATATATATATAGTTGATGTTTTCATAGTTGATGCATTTTCTTTTTATTATAAATGCTTCCATTATTTTTAGCATTTATTTTAAAAATGTGGATGAGGCTATAATAGTTGTAATTTTGAGTAGTATGTTAAGGTTACAATTTGGTAGGTTTCCATGTGTGTTTCAACGTGTCCTAATTGAGCTATCCTAAGTGAGTCCTCTTGATAGGCATATAGTGTTATGTCCAATGTAATTATTAATGAATTATATATATATATATATATATATATATATATATATATATATTGTTAGGGCCAGAAATAAAGACACAACAGAGGAATTGAGCCAAACAAATATATTACAGAAACAGTAATACAAACATATACAAACGAGAGTGTTACAGCAAGAATGTTTGGTCCGACTGTCAGAGCTGACTGCTGGAAACCTCTCTCTTCAAAAGGCAGTACCTGCTCCCATTTATAGCTGGGAGAGTCCATACGTGTGTGGTTAAATTGCCATAACAATATATATATATATATATATATATATATATATATATATTAAGTCAAATTTCAAGTTTATTTAAAGTATATTAATATATTAAAGGTCTGTCATTTGAGCACTCCTTTTTCCAGAGTGCAATCTTAGGCAGACTCTTATTTCTGATTATATATATATATATATATATATGTGTGTGTGTGTGTGTGTGCATAATATATATTGAGGTAATATATACATATTTCCCGTGCAAATGATAATCGGAATAATGCGATAGTAAATACATTCTTTCCTTTTTTTTTCTTAAAAAAAAATCTGGTAGATAGAATATTACTGCGTTTGATATAAATAAATAAATAAATTATTAAATAAAGCAACAAATAAATAGATCAATAAAAGCAGTGAAAGAAAAAGAAGCCAAGAAAGAAAATGTCAGATCAGAAATTTTTCTGCAGCTGTTCGACCACAGAACGCGCAATTCGCGATGAGGAAATGTTAGTCGCCATTAAAAAACATTCCATGCTTTGTATGTTGACGTTAAGTAGGTGAGCGATCAGCTTTTACGTAGGTAATTAATTAGATTTTCACTTTACCTGTCCTCTTCACCTGCTTTCAATGCACATATATTTCCATATATCACCTTGTCACATTCACATATACACAGACATTTAATTGTCAGAACCAGGAGCCAGCCATTCTTATTTTAGATAAGAGTAATAGGCAGATACTCGGCCATACGCTGAGACAGGTGAAAGCCAAGAAAGGTAGTGAATGTAGACACAGGTTTGTCTTTCTTTCTCCGTCTCTCCGTCTCTCTCTCTCTCTCTCTCTCTCTCTATATATATATATATATATATATATATATATATATATGATACAGATATAGTTTTAAGGTATGCTATATTTATGGGTAAAAGTGTTCAATATCAGATATAGAGCGTATATCAATATAAAAAAGGAAACTTAGATTAACACCAAGCCGCGACAGTCTGCTTCATACTTGAACACACACACACATATATATATTGCCAACTTAGGTGAAGATTTTGCGCTGATAGCTGTAGATTTTCATCCAGAATTTTGATATCGTCTTCAGCTTTCATTCTTCAACTTATTGCAAGTAATTTTCCAGTCCCACTTGAGCTAAAACAACCTCAACACCTCATCGAGCCGCCTCCATGTTTTAATTTTGTCACTGTGTTCTTTGGGAGGAAAGCTTCACCTTTCTTGAGCCAAATCTTCTGTACAAAATGATGTCCAAAAAGCTCAATTTTTATTTCATCATTCCATAGTATTAGCTCCCAAAAGCAATTTTCTTTGTCTAAGAACGTCTTGGCAAAATTAAAACGAGCAACAATGTGACATGGTTTGTGAAGTGGGGGTCGTTGTAGTCGGTCTCTATTTAAACAATGTTGTATTGTGCGAGTAATTACACTGATACCCCATCGTATACAAATCTTTGGCGATGTTTTTCAAAACAACTCTTAGGTTTTAATATAAACCTCGAGACACAGTTTTCGTGTCGTTCTCGGTGAGAATTTGTTCCATGACCAGGCAAATGCTAAACTGGTTCAACTTCTTTATAACGGACTGTACCGTTGTTCTAGGGATAACTAACAGGTCTCAAATAGTAACTACTAGCAGTAGAACCCGGCGTTGCCCGGAGATGTAACAGTAAGAGATAGATCAAGTATCGACCATCATAAAGACTGAAAAATAAAATTGACAAAGATTATTGTTAAAGGTTGACGGACACGCATGTCTTAATTAGTGGGGTTTTTTTTTTTTTGTTGTTTGGGTTTTTTTTTACGAATTGGTCAAACCCAAACTCAAACAAAAACATTGTTTTCAATCGTTATGAGTCTATCGATTGAATAGAATTTTATTATAAACAATTGTCTTGTAAATAGAATTTTAAAAGCATTCTGAATGTAAAAATAAAGAAAAAAGTGTGCAAGACAATAAGAAACACTGCCTGCCAAAAAAAAGTGAAGTTTTGAAATCGGTTGAAAAATGTAGGAAAACCGATCCCATATATAAACACACACACACACACACACACACACACACACACACACACACACACACACACACACAACCTGGATTTTATAATAAGTATAACTCGATGAGTTGTCCCCCTTTCATTCTGGCGAGAGAATCGTGTTTTATCGTGTCTTCAAATTGATTTCGTGCAAAAACAATTGTGTTTTTCCAATTATTGGCGCTGTCAGAACCACCGCAAGGTAATTTTACGCAGTCCTGTGAAGTTTTGTTGAAATCAGTTGAAAAATGTAGGAAATCCGATCCAATATATAAACGTACACACACACACACACACACAATCTGCGTTTTATAATAAGTAAGATTTCCCGTCTTGTAGAAGTTAATAATTTTCTGTCTCAAGTCAACGCTAAGCTCCTTTGTCTTCCCCATAGTGTTGTTAAGGTAAGAAAGACAATAATGACACTCTATGCACAACATGATGTTCTTTGCTGAAATTATCACAAATATTCTATTGAATAAATAGTCTAGAAGGTTTCACCGATTAAATAATTATATAAATTACTTATACTGACACGAATCATTCAATTTTAAAGCGATATTTTCTACTGTACGAATAATTTTCTTTTATTATTTTGCATAATTTGCCTTTCAAATGTGTTACATTTAATGTATTCTTCTGAAAATCGGGTTTTATATTTATCTCTTCTTGCTTATTAACATATAAAAAACTCGCATCGTACGGGAATTAGATTCTGAGTAATGGATAAAAATATTCAAAATTGATGGGTATATATATATATATATATATATATATATATATATATATATATATATATTATGCAGTGTTACATTAGAACATGCACAAACCCACTACAAAACTGTACATCTTGTTTCAACGTTAAATTTTTTTTAACGATTCATCAGGTGGGAAATCACGATGTTACTTAAATATTTTATTCCGAAATGCAGTTAACGAAGCACATTTTCCACTTCCATCATTGGAAAGTTTCCCATAAAAGGTAAAAAAGAATTTACATGTGGAGAAAGAAAAGAAGTTAAGTGATTAGTAACAGAGAGAGAGAGAGAGAGAGAGAGAGAGAGAGAGAGAGAGAAAAGAAATAAGAGGAAAAACGCCAAGAAAAGGAAATAAAGGTTGAGAAAAAAGAGGGAGGGAGGTGAGATAAACTAAGCGGGGATATATATATATTTCTTGCTTCCGTTAGCAAAGAGATTATTTTTTTCCAATTTGACCAGATCAAACCTATCCTATTTAAGTATGGAGTAAATAGTTGTGACTTCGAGTCGAGAAATGATGACATCAGGAATGTGGTTGATGAAAATTATGAGTAAAGTTGGTCCAAGTATAGAGCCATGACGAATACCCGCATTAATTTAAAAATATAGAAGAATGGTCGTTCAAGATAACTTTAATTTCTCGATTTGATCGATTCGTTTTTTACGGATTATCAACCCATTAGTGGTTGAAAGTTAGAAGATACTCCTAGATTGCAAGAAATGTTTGGAGATTATAATGATTTAGTGATACAAGTCTTATTAATTAATTCAAAGCTGGAGAGGAGAGGTAGGTTCATGCCTTCCTCAACTGGTATTTACACGTAAGTGAATATAACGAACCCTGGGGAAATTCGAACCATTCCTAATTAACATCCATTACATCACCCGCACATCCACGCATACAGCAACTAATATTCCCAAGCGGTTACCCATCTAGGTGCTGACCAGACTCGACGTTGCTTTACTTCGGTGATCGTAGGAGAACTGGTGTTTATACGGTGTTTATATGGTCGTAGGCCTTTCGCGAATTGATAAGAAACATTGAATCAAATAAAAATTTGTCAAGGGCTACCATAAGCCTTTGACTGGTTTGATTTGGCTTGGTTTGGTTTACGGTATATCAACCTCTATGGGTTATTTAATGCCGACAAGATTTTTATTGCTGGCAATTGTTTTTTTTTTAAATGTATTGTTGGTAATATTTTTTCTTCAAAAATTCATTGCTGGTAATAAACATTTACAAAAATGTATTTCTGGTATTAAAACCTATTTTTACATTTTCATAGTGTTTTGACCCCACTTTGGAAGTCAACTATTGGCCCATAGCCGGTGCTAACAGGTGCTACCACACCAGGTCAGAGTAGACCTGGGAAGACCATTAAATAAGAGGTGGTTCCACGCTCCTCAATACCTGATCAGAGGCCTTGCTGTTGGATGTAGTTTATCGTCTTACCCAAGACGCGTATGTAGTTTATCGTCTTACCCAGGGCGCGGATGTAGTTTATCGTCTAACCCAGGACACAGATGTAGTTTATCGTCTAACCCAGGACGCGGGTGTAGTTTATCGTCTTACCCAAGGCGCGGACGTAGTTTATCGTCTAACCCAGGACACGGATGTAGTTTATCGTCTAACCCAGGACGCGGGTGTAGTTTATCGTCTTACCCAGAGCGCGGACGTAGTTTATCGTCTAACCTAGGACGCGGGTGTAGTTTATCGTCTTACTCAGGGCGCGGATGTAGTTTATCGTCTAACCCAGGATACGGATGTAGTTTATCGTCTAACCCAGGACGCGGGTGTAGTTTATCGTGTTACCCAGGGCGCGGGTGTAGTTTATCGTCTTACCCAGGGCGCGGATGTAGTTTATCGTCTTACCCAGAACGGCAAAACGAAGGCTAACATCTCAAATGCATTCGAGATATCTAAAGCAACAACCCAGGATTCACCGTTCTTATCTAAAGCTTGACAGAATCTGTCAGCAATAATTGTTAATACATCAGTAGTTGATCGAGAGAAGCGAAATCCATGTTGTTTGTTTGAAAGAAGACTATGCGAGGTAAGTTGCTTAACCAATTCGGAGTTGATTAGAGTGTTGAGTATTTTCCCCCAAAAGACTAACATTCACCTGAGTTCTTAAAAGCGGAAACTACAGAAGAGGATTTCCAATAAGAAGATAAACAAGACGCAGCAAGAATTTATTGTAGAGTTGAGATAATGTGAACCAACTCAGGAGTACATTTCTTAAAGACAATTGCCGAGATACAATAAAGGCTGCATTCTTTGCAGGGGATCCAGCTTAGAGATGATAACAGAAATCCTGGATGAAGTTATATTGAAATCACACAGTACAGAACCAGTTCTAAAAGTAAAGTCCAGAGAAGAACTTGAAATAGAATCTACGAGCAAAACATTCTACTTTATCAGCAGATATCGCTTGCTTAAACTCAACGTTGATTCTGATTCCACAGAACGGGGTTGGGTGAGAAAAAGTATTTGTTGTTAACATTCTTTTTTCATTCGGTTTTTTCAGTTACGAGTCCTTTTTTTAAAGTTGATGGTTTTGTGTTCATTTTGTTTAGTTCTTTTTTCGTAACAGATTTAATGTTTAGTATAGAGCTTAGAAAAAATTCGCAGTGTGAGATAAGCAAGAAGTAAGGCATATAGCAACATCAGCACGGCAAAGGGCACTCCTTTAAAGGCAAGGAAAGGCAAAAATATTTTAAGTCAAGTGATAGCGATTGCTGTATGAGTCGTACGATTTTTGAATCAAGCACGGGCAACGCCTGGCCATGCTGCTAGTATATATATATATATATATATATATGTGTGTGTGTATGCAAGGATGTATATGTATGAAAGGATACATATATATATGGATATGAACAGATTGAATTCGATATATACATATATATGCAGAGAGAGAGAGAGAGAGAAGAGAGAGAGAGAAGAGAGAGAGAAGAGAGAGAGAGAGAAAAGAGAGAGAGAAGAGAGAGAGAAGAGAGAGAGAGAAGAGAGAGAGAGAAGAGAGAGAGAATGGGTAAAGAGATAGATAAGAAATAATTTAGGTAGACGTGAAATTACATAGATAAATACGATTGGAGAAATAGATAAAAAGAAAGAAAGAAAGAAAGAAAGAGAACTATATTGAAATAGGATTAGATAGATAGATAGATAGATAGATAGATTGCTGGGCTTACTGGGATAAAGGTATGAACAAAGTGAGACAGTGGGTGATGAATAAGGTAGGTAGGTAGGTAGCAGATGGTCAAAGTATTTTTCGTATTATCACTTAGTCTTCTGTGGTAAGCATTTCTGGCACTTTATTGCGCTTATTTGGGTTTCAAACAGTCAAGTATAAGGAGGCTGGCGCCATTTGCCTGATTTTCAGGCCTCGACACCAGGGCAAATTCATTCATTCATTAAGTCTGTGTTAATCGCCAGCACGACAGCAAAAGTTATGAGAGAGAGAGAGAGAGAGAGCGAGAGAGAGAGTGAGTGAGAGAGAGAGAGAGAGTGAGAGAGAGAGAGAGAGAGTGAGTGAGAGAGAGAGAGAGAGAGAGAGAGAGAGAGAGATTTATTTATTATTAAAAAGATTGATAACTTAATTGGGTGGGTGTTATGTTTTATTATATAAACATAGAATCCGGAACTTTTTGATAACGTGCTCCCAGCTGCGCAATGCCCTGACGTTAAAATAAAGTGTCGCGGACGCAATGTAGTCTTTGAACGTCACAAGTCTGCCTCATCTGCGGAGGATTTTCTACGAAAGGGAATAGAAGAGATGTTAATCTGTTGGTACAAGGTCTGGGGAGTAAGGTGGATGACACAGTGTCTCTCAACCAAGTCGCTGCATGGTACCCTGGCCATCCCCGCCACATGAGGCATAACATTTTCATGGAGGAACAGTACTCTCTTGCGATTAAGAAATGCTGTCTCTTTCTGCTTCAGTGTCTGTTGAACACGTTCCGACAACAGCTCAAAGTGCACCACTTGTTGACTAGTCCATTAGATACAGAACATGATCTGGTGTGGGTGAAGTGGTGGTCTTGTGATGTGAGGCACAGGGAGTGTCCTACAGGACCCACTTTTTGTCATTGGTGAGTACTCGATCAAATATGGGTACGTTGATGTGCCGAGAAAGCAACAAGAACAGACTGTCATTCTCTGGTTTCCGACCGTGTGTGGATACCCACTTGCTTAAATAGTACGCCTTCCTTATGTGCTGCAGGTAAAGACTGTTTCATCAGAAACCTGGAAGCGTTCGGATATCTCTCCACAGGTTTTGTGGTTGTTCACCTCCCTGGCCGCCTTCAGGGCTTCATCACCCAGGACCTGTGGTTAGGCCCTGCGGGGTTGATCACAAAGAGACAGATCACCCGATTTGAACTCCTGGGATCAATGCATGGCGGTGTGTTCACTTACAGCATTATCCCCAAAGGCTTGACGTATTCGGCGAATTGATGCGGTTGCGGACAAGCCCACCTTTAAAATTATAAAGCAGACAACCCTGAACGATATGTGTATGTAACGTACCTGCATTAATCAAGAGCAATGTACCCCGCCGTTTTCCCAGCACGTGACGCACTCTCAGTGATCCCTTCTTTCACACGACATAAAAACGGCAATGACTTTTTTGGTTACCTTATAGATTCTGGATTTAAAATAATTGAACTACAGAAAATATATTGGCCTTAAATATCGATTTTCAGGTGGCTACTGGGTAGGGTTAAACAAAAAATAAACTTGCATGCTGGCGTAACGCGCTGACAGATTAAAAGAGACTGACGATCCGCTGTACATAAAATGGATAACCATATTTCATAGCATTCTTTTTTTTACGAAAATTGTTCTAGATATTTTTTTTCATTCTGCGCTATGTTGACTGGGACATAGTCTTGGAGTCTCTGCTGGCCGAAAACTTGTTTATTCCTTTTTATTTCTTCGACAAACTCATTTTTTCCAATTCTTAATCTCAACTTCTACTTCTCTTCCTTTTTACATTAGATTGTAGGAACGAGTTGGCAGTGAACGCAAAAGCAGATTCCAATTTCCTGAAGAGAAGGTTAACTCAGTCAAGTCAGATTTTAATTTGTTTTTAACGCTTTTTTGTTTGTTTGGCGTGGGGGAATATTTGCGTTTACGTCAATGCCTTCCTTCAGCAGAGGTAGTCAGTCTAAAGGGCTCCGCTGTTTGGTAATCAACACTGCTTCTAGGAAGACGTCCACCATATTTTTCCTGCCAGTAGTTTGTGTAGGCCACTGTTTGTAGTCAGTGCCACATGAGATGAATGTCTTCCTTAAGGACACCGTCTCCCTCTACTGTGACACGCTTCTCTAAGTGCAATTGTGTGTGTGTATTTATATCTGAACACATGCAGAACACGCATGCGCCCATCCACTTACGGAAGAGTGTCATGGCAGAGGAAAAAGGAATACTTAAAGAAGGCACGCATCAAATGTGGTACCGACTATAAACATTTTCTTTTTGCGTTATACATGAAATAATTAGGATAATGGTGCTTTTAAATTCTAATTTTAATATATTTTCTTTGCCATGTAGATTAGTTTTTCAAGTTTCTCTCTCAGTCTGTCTGGGCTTAAACGTAAAGTAATGGTTAACGTGCTCGTGGGGGATTTCGATCCTTAATGAATGTCCCATAGTGATAGCTTTCTTCTAAACTAAGCTTAGTAAATATTTAGGGCATCACCGACCGAGGTGATGGTTAACGAGCTAGTCTGGCTAGACATTAGTACTGAGTACTGATATCGAGCCTTCATAAGTGCCTTATGCTTGAGGATTTGTGCTATATTAAACTAAACTTCGTAGATATTTCGGGTGTGTCCGAGTAAGGTAATGGTTAAGGAGCTAGTGTGGTCGGACATTAATACTGTTGTGGATTCTGGGATGAAATCCGGTCTCAAATGAATGACAAACGCAGGAATGAAATATAGCAAATAAATGTATTGACGTAATAATACAATTGATAATACGGTTAGTAGATCCAGAAATGCGGTTAGTAGCAATAATGATATATCTATACAGTCTGGGAAATTCAGTATCGAAGTATGACTTCCTTCTGAGTCTACGTGCTCGCAACTGTGACTCCTACCAAGCGGTTACCTCACACTCTCACTGTATCACCGTATCACTGTCCCTCTATCACTGTATCACTGTCACTCCTGGGTATTCACCGGCAGCAGTACAAGTACACACTGGGCGAGTCCACTTGTATGAAAAAGGGGTGGACCCCTTAACAAATACTGAGTGGCTATTTCGATCCTCACATGATATACAGCTTATAACACACCAAACAAATGATCGTTTGTTTTTAAAAATGATGACGGACGCAATTTAATAAAAAGTGACACCCACCCACATTTCAGAGAGACTTCGCGAGTGGGATTATTATGCTTTTATTTTTATTTCTTTTATTTTAGCTTATTTATCAGTATATACCAATATAATTTTATTCAAATGAAGATGATTTTAAAAGTGCCATAATCTACGAATCCTTGCAATTCCTGGAATTTATTATCCGTTTTTCTATGAGTATAATGTTACAAGGTAACATATATGCAACCTTACCTTGTATCGTTGCAGGTACGACGTGGGGAGTCTACAAAAACGTTCTTTCAACCTCTATCTAAAGTTGCATAAACGTTGTAGCAACGTTATATTGTTAGCTGGACAGACATCTCTCTCTAACACTGGATCGCAATTAATCTAGGAGAAGGAAAATTAAACCGTCAACGGGGAACTGCTCTATTGATGCTATCAAGATAATATAAGAAGAGTTACCATGAGGGATCTGGTTTCAAAAGAAATTACTATCACTGTTAATAATAATTCTATGGATATTATTAGACAGAATTACAAATGCTTACGTAAATAATGTAAACAAAAGAGAAACAAAACGACAAATATTTACAGAAAGAGAAAAATCAACAGAAATAGACAGGTCGTAAAAATGTTAAATGTAGACTGTGTAAAGATTAGATTGTCAGTCATGAAATAAGCGTCTACAGTTAGAAGGAGTAGAAAAGTAGACATAATTGGGCAGGGAAGTGATTCATTGGGAATTGTGCAGATATAACGATGAGAATAGTATATCCACAAAACAAAATAAGCCTTAATCGGAAAAACAAAACAATAGCAGCAAAAACAAAATAAATAAATAAAAATAAAAAAAAAAAAAAAAATAAACAAAAGCTTCAAAATTCTCTTGGAAATTCAAATTCAAAATGGATCACCCATACCTTACCAGGAGACAAGATTTAATCAATTGTAAATAAAAATATGATAAATTTTCGAGAAGTACGAAAAGAAACTGTTAGCATAGAACTTACGGTTACATCTCGTCATTTCAACTGTAAGTTTCTGAGACCCTGGCGCCAAATTAGTAGTTCGCTTAAATTAATAAAATTTTGGTAGCAAAGAGGAAAGCACATGAAAACAATTACCATGAAATATTTATAGAACAAGCACAGGGAAGTTACGTCACGGCGGTGGGAAAATTAAATGAAGAAAAGATGCATAGCTCAAAACCAATAACATTACAAATTCTTTGTTGTATTTTAACAAGAATCTCTAAGGAATTGCGTCACTCACTCATCAGCGATATTTGGCGGGAACATAGAAAGACATCAAGATAATAAATGTTATGTCTATCATCATCATCATCAGCAGCAGCAGCATCAGCAGCAGCACCAGCTCCATAAGGTTACTGTCTCCGCACTTCTGTACTTCCTCTTAAATAACATTAATAACAAATAAACAAATACTGAAACCCGTTCCTTGATCCTAATCGCTTTGTCAGAAGTTTCAATATCAATGCTCCATAAATTCTGTTGCTCTTCCATTTGGGATTTTGCTAATAAAATAACATTAATGGACGTAACGTTTTCAACAGAATGAGAATTCTTCTGAAATCGTAAAACTTCATCATTTTCTCTGATGATTCTGTTTCTAATTGTTACATTCAGAAAATGTTTTGATTTTATTTTCTAACTGACACCCATTTATGGCTATTATCTGGCAACTTGAATAAATAAAACGTCAATAGTATAAAATTTGTTTCTTTTTTAAATTTGGTTGTCACGATTCCAGCTCAACTTTCCTAATGACATTAACTTCCTCAAGGGAATTCATCTAATTCAACTAATTAGTTTTTCAATGAGGATAAAGTTTCTATTGTTTATACTCTGTTCTTCTTCAGTTAATTTGTTCACAATGAATAAATAAAATAAATAAATTAGTGCAGTGCACATTTTTAGGTCCTTTTATTATCAGTTCGTCCTTGAATAGGCACTTACGTGGAGTTTGCATAAACCAAAAAACTATTGCTCTTTTTCATAAACGCGTAACTTTTTTTCATATCTCAATAAATATTAATTAACACCACGTAATCATAAGGAGATAGAGTAAATTCGAAAACAGATTTTGAAAGTAGATATGCCTTCTCGAGTTGAATGCTTGGCGCACTATAATCTTCCTATCCCACATTTAGCTTTTTTTAAGATTAAAGTAAGCATGCATACTAAATATTATGTTTCATTTTCAAGGATATTGTGTGACTCCTGAGAGACTTTTAACTTGAAAAAGCATATTTTTCACACACACACACACACACACACACACACACACACACACACACACACACACACACACACACACACAACACAAGGCAAGCACGCACGCACGCGCGTAAAAATACAACAAAAACGACAAAATCAAGCTCTTGCTGTTTCTAGAAAAACAGACGGTAGTTATATAAACGTGTCAAAGCAAAATAAAAGAAAAAAGTACTGATTTTTACTGCCTGCTGAACAAACCGTGTTAGTGGAGAGATTTGAATATTTATCAGCTATATATGAGGAAAAGGTATATATATATATATATATATATATATATATATATATATATATATATATATATATATATCGAGAGAGAGAGAGAGAATCACTATGCGTCACGAACAATAATCAGGTACTCTCACATAAGGTGTATTTATGATGTTGTTTTCAAGAGCGCTCGCACGTCCACCGAAGTCCCATAAACTGCGGCAAATCTGTTCAAAAGTTGACCGTATAAACATTCGCAAATACACAAGCCCAAACACAGGGGTCTAAAGAATATTCCACAGTTGGAGCTAAATCAATATGGAAAATAATTTAGATTTGTAAAATTATTCAATAATCTATCTATCTATCTATCTATCTATCTATCTATCTATCTATCACATCTGTGTTCCAAATGTAAGAAAGAAATTCTACTTAAACACCATTTTCCCAAGAACTGTCACTTTGAGTGAGTGCTTCACTGAACCCTAAACTTTTAAGCATTTTATGTTTCACTCCTTATTTGTCTTCCTTATCTTCTTCGTTTTACCTTTTCTTGCTCTCATAACATATACCTAATCCATTATTACCATCTCAACTGTAACCCTCTACCTTGAGTTGATCCCGAGCCTTGTATTGGGTTAGATTTAGTAAAAAACAAATTTAGTTCTATTCGTTAATTCTGCGGTAATGATTCTAATCCTGTGAGCGCAACTTTCTTGATATCCGCGAGGAAACTTTAAAATTTCAATTTAATCGATGTGATAATTTTGTTGTACTTAAATATTTGTGAAACGGCTACAAATCTCGATGCAACATTTCTGTCTGGCAAGTATCCAAAACTTGAAATGGCCTCTTAGTTCTGTTCAAAATACAGCCTTTATAAGCACGCACACTTATCTAAGTGTCCCCTTCACTTTTCAAAATCTTTTTAAGGATCATCACGTTATCATTAATCCTTAATCTCGCCCACGGTATGGCATCTCTCTTTTAAAACCGACTTTAGAAAAAAGCCGAAGACATATGGAGACAAACTTGGATTGTAAGGTAGCTGAACGACCTGGATGATGCGGTGTGTAGCCAAAATACCCTACAGGTGACATCAATATGAATGCAACAGTTGCACAATATATAAGATCACTCAACAGTGTTTCTCTGCCGTTTGAACAACTCACCGTGAGAGTCTCTGTTCATGGATGCGTCAAAGCCATACACAAGCGGTTTTCGATTATATGTGAAACGATTTCTTGAGATTATTTTAACCTCCTCTTATCATTATTGCTGGCAAAAAAGAAAACTTTTAATGAAATGAGTAAGATCTTTAACGTTGATATTTAAAACATAGAAAAAATATTCAGTTAGTTTTTACCACTTGGTTTTCATTTAAATATGATCAAACGAGGTAAATATGATCAAACGAGGTAAATATGATCAAGCGAGGTAAAAAGATGTCATAGGGACACCAGAAGGTTAACATAATAGTTTCGCAAGCCATTCACAGTATGAATTCAAGATTTTGCTTTATTTGGTTTTGTTAAATAAGGCAACTTTTACGAGTACCTTAATTTCGGCAGATATGTTCTTCAGCCTTCCTCGGGTCTATGCAACTGTTAGTATATCACTCAGTTTTATTCTTATGATTTCGTCATTTTTAAAAAAAATTTAACAAACTGTGTAGACACACATATACACATATGCATTTCTTTTTAGCGAATCATGTTCCTATCGACGCAATTTCCAGAACTTAGCTTCTACCAATTACAAAATACACATGGGGAAGGCCGTAGAAGATCTTTCAGTTGCCGTGTCCTCTTGGGACTTGGGCAATTATAGTTTTCCACAGTTTTTCCTTTGTAGAAACATTTCCCTTTACCATTCCTGTAGTCTCTGCCATGCCAGATCGAGCTAGATAAAAAAAAGAGTGTTAAATGGGAGGTGGATTTGATATATTTGCTAAGACGGCAAATATATTGCGTGTGGCGTAACGGTTATTGATGCAGACAATGAAATCATCAACCCTGGTTCCAATTCAATCTGAGACCGTTAAATTCACTTCATAACATGAATCTCTTTTCTTCTCCCTCCAGGTTAAATAGCATGTCAAATTGTATTTCTATTGGTTGAAGCTACTTTCTTCTGTATGAACCGTAACCCCTCGAGACGTAGACGATCATAGCCCTCCACAACTTCCTGTCCCTTGTAGCTCTTAATAAACCTGTTATTTTTCCAAGCTCACTAAGTATGTTATACGTTGTCTTCATTTGCCCCACTTGCCCTCTATATGTTCCGTGAGTATCAGATTTTCCAAGCCCTCCATCCTCATTATGAACCCCAGAAACCTCAAATATTTCTTTCTGATGTTAAGTATTATTTTCTTTTTGTTTTCATTTTCTCCAAATTTTCTTCGTTACTCACATGTTATGTAGGGGAAAGAATTTAAGTCCCGCTCCTGCTATGGGACAGCTTGAAAGGATAAGGCTCATTACACCCCCCCCATATATGACAGAATTTAAGGAAAGCCTGGTTTATTACGCGGACTGAAAAATGTGGCTGATATATACATATATATAGAGAGAGACAGACAGGGCACCTCGAGGCGGTTAGCAAGCTTTTCTCGCTAGAACAATTACAACTGAGTCGTGAGTTCGATCCTCACTGGGTACCCCATACTTTCGGCCTTGTGTCACATCTAAGCTACGCTTGGAAAATCGCTATAGAGAGAGACAGACACTCTGTGTGATGCATGTTAAGAGAGAGAAAGAGTGTGGACGTAGGAATCAATACTAGATGGTTACTGTTAATTTCACGCCTCAAGTGTCACGTGGTCTGAAGAACGCCTGAATCATGAAACTGACAGTCACCATGTAGTGTTTATTCCTATTTCCATATTGTGTATATCTGCAATTGTTCTATTTTCGATATTGAATATTCTTTTCTCATAAATATAGTAATTTTATAGTAAGTATATATATATATATATGTATATATAAATATAAAAGTGAACATAGAAGTCAACACGTAGAGGCGACAGTCAGTTTCACGCTAGATGCAATCATCAGGCCACGAGTGCTGTTACACATGCTCTATCTTTGATATTGAGCACTTTATCCCATAAATATAGCACTTCTTAAGACTATGTTTCTTCATATATATATATATATATATTATATATATATATATATATATATATATATATATATATAATATTGCCGAAAAATTATGAGAACATATATATAAGGCAAATACTATTAAAAACGAGAGACATTTTGTGTCGTTTAATTTTAATCTGTCTAAAATTGCCGGATGTTTCCTCCTTGATTATTTGTAATCATCACAGATCTGTATACATATAAATAGTCGAGCAAAAACACAACGCACATGGCCTGACGATTATGTTTAGCATGAAACAGACTGTCACCTCTGGGTGTTAATTTCAATGTCCACTTTTCTATTTACATACGCTCTATCCCTGATAATGAGCAACTTAACAATAAATAGAGCATAGCTTAAAATTATATTTTATCACACACACACACACACACACACACACACACACACACACACACACACATATATATATATATATATATATATATATAGGGTGTTTCAAAAGATCTATGCACACTTTTACAATGTATAGCTTAAGTCAACTTGTTTTCTTTTCAGATTTACACGTTAGTATTACTAATGTCATCCGGGCTTAGCAACATATGACTGTAAGAAAATGCAGTTGAAGCTCAAAGGCGGTATTGAAGAGAGTTTCATTCAGATCCTCCCACGCGGCTTAGAATCTCACGAATTAGCGATAAGTTTGAGGCTGAGGGCCCATGTTTAAACGGAGGGCACAAGGATCGTTCCGGAAGCCCGTGGCTCTCAAGAAACCCCGTGAAGCAAGAAAGGGTGATGGAAAGTTTTTACAGAAGTCCAAGAAACCTATCATAATGTTGATTGCTGGCTGTTATTTGCTTGTGATTCTATTGCATCGTGTTGTCAGTAATGTCTTGTTCCTAACGGACATCAATTTGAAAACTAGCGATGACAAAATCTTAAGAGCATGCATTTCTAATAAATACTGTCTTCATAGGCATTATTTAAATTAGATATCGTTGGTTCTAGTTGCTTGAATTATTTGTTGAGAAACCTTCAAAATGTCTACACATTTTTAAGACACCCTGTATACATATATATGAAATATGAGAGAGAGAGAGAGAGAGAGAGAGAGAGAGAGAGAGAGAGAGAGTGAGAGAGAGTGCGTGTACAATTGGAAAAATTGGTTAGCCTTCCACCAAATGTAAAAAAAGAAAGATTGTAAAAAAAAAAATAAAAATAAGCGAAAAGTAAAATAAAAAGGAGTGGTGGGAAGAGAAAGAATACTGTTATAATGAAAGAAGATGTTATAATGATTATCTTTTAAAAAGAATAACAAGGAGTGAAAAAAAGAAAAACAACACAAATACGTAATCGAGACAGAGAATACGAGATGAATAGATAATGCAAACATTCAAGATGGAGGCAAATGGGAGATGAATAATTCAGCAGACGAATATTCGAAAAGAGAGGAGAAGCCATTTGCCTCTGTATTACGATAAAAAAAAAAAATGAATAGAATGGAAGTAAACAGAAAATAAAAAAAATAAATAAAATTATGTTTTCAAACTATCGGACGAAAAACACGGAGAAAATGTACAAAAATAATAATAATGCTAAAATAACATGAGACTTTTGTTCTATTACTCTTCTTCGCATTTCCTGTTCCTTGTGACCTTACCATTTTAGAAGATGGTGTACAGTGAAATGAAGATCAAAGGTCGCTATTTTGCTTTTGTTTTTGTTTTATTTACTTGTATTTATTTTTAATATAAAATATCGGATAGTTTTCTTCGAGCAACTATTGAAAACTTTAAAACTGTGTTTATCGTATTTTTTTCTCTCTTTATCTGCGGATGAATTTTGTATTGAAACGGGAAAGAACATCTGCCATCAATCCATGCAATGCTTCTTTTTACGCAGGGCATATTGGGGAGGTTCACCTCCTGAATTATAGGTCTTTTACAGACACACACACACACACACACACACACACACACACACACACACACACACACACACACACACACACACACGCGCGCGCGCGCGCAAATACACACACCCATATATAGGCCTGTGTGTAGATGAAACATAAACATATTTAGTGGGTGCACGTGTTTCGGTAGACATCGCTGTTTATAAATCAATCCCGACATATATATATATATATATATATATATATATATGATAAAGTTAATTGGTAATTCATATGGATAATTCCAGGGAGGATATAAATCCCGAGAGGTTAATGTAATAAACAGAGCAAAGAATAATTAACAAATCCAAATCGGAGACTTCAGAAAGACATGGTCATATTTTATTTCGTCAGA